CATGAAGTTTCAGGAAAGCATGCTTAGAGTGAAATCGAAACGATAAATATGTGTATACATCGACTCACGCTTAAAGGATAAATCAAATATAGATACAGTAACAAGCATATATCTGTTGTGGCAATGTCTGTTACTTCCAAAAAAACTAGGAAAACACTTTTTCTATTTGCAACATGTCTGTTTATATATTCTGTATAGAACAGCCATGTGTTTACTCAGAGATGTCTATGTTTTCATCTTTCCCATTCTGAACGCAGCATGAAAGACTATTATATATAGATCATCGTTTCTTTTAACGTTATATAAATACCATTGTAATCCCATTTTTGTGTTTTATATCTGCTTTTTCTTACGTGTTTATAGTAACATATTCTGAACCAACGAAATTCAGAGGATGAGTATACACGAATAATAGAAAGAATCAGAGGAGAGAAGCTACAACCTTTTCTAGCATCTTCTAGGCATAGAACTGAACTATTCCCAATCAATGTTGAGGGTAAAAACGAATCTTATTTCTCTGATAATGTACCAGATCCAAACTCTTTTATCAGTTGAGTACTCTGACTGTATTAAAATTTCAAATTAAAAATGTGAGAAAAAATGCATCAAATCGCCAATGTGATCGCAAAATGTGAGTATTCTCGGTGTAAAATCGTTGATCTGTTGACTTCTATTTTACGGCCAGAGGATTACGGCTCACTCATTCACGAAATGCTAGAATGCTTCAGTAGCACACTGATCCTAGCACTGATACCTACAGATATACATTCTTTTTTTAAGTGTAAGCGTGAATGCTCGACGCTTCATATACATCGTGCGTAATCTTATCGGTAATTCTAACAGGCGAAGCATAAGGTATCAGCCCTTCTTACTTTTATATTGAGATGTAATTCCATTCGCATGTCGAACGAAAATTGAGGTATATAACGGAACGGAAACTTCGGACGGAAGATCTATTTGAGATGAAGTATTTCTTCAGAAAATATCATTGCTGAGCAAAAAATTAACGGAGACGCAGTTAAACACTGATTACCCGAAGTAAGAAAGATTTAAATCACAAAGTACGCACACAATAGTCAACATTTAGTGTGTACATTATCTCATAAAGCTGTACCTATAGAACTTTCAAGTAGACAACTAAATTTGATTCCATTATGTTCCCGAAGAAAAAAACACGCAAAACACGATAAAATCTCCAAACTAAATTCAGAGCTCTAGAGGCAAACTTTCTCTGTCGAAATCTACGAAATCTTAGTTTATGCTTAACGAACATAGGTTAAGATATGCTTAAGTTACAAGATTATTGGATGGCGAACATAATTGCATTTTCAATCTAAATATAAGAGCTTGCTTCAGCATAAAATAAAGATTTCTCATCCATACTTCTTTGGATAATTTACTTTGTAGATTTCAGTTCTGTAAATATGCTCTGATTTAATATAAACTATTTTCAATGTAAAGATAGATATAATTAACATAAAAGACTAGTTCTTGCAATACTCTTTAATTGACTGTGCTTGAGGGCCCCCCTCCCTCAGAAATTATCTCCGACACCGTACATCCGATCTTCATGAATCCATAAATGTTAGGCACAATGTTACGGGAATGAAAAAATTGTTTTTGTTTTAAAGCCTAACGGTTTAGTAGTTTTCCAGAGATCAAGATCCAAAAAGGACCCTGAAGTGCGTTCCAAGATTTTTTAATATACTTCAAGCTGGAGAGTTCGGGTTGGTTTTATTTTAAACTAGACGCCTAACTACATGGACTGACCGGCGCCGATTTTTCAATTAAGCCTTTATTGGTTTTCCAGGCAACCAACAACCTCCAAAATCCGAAAAAGTCTTCTGAATTTTCTAAAAATCCTCAGTTCGACAAAAACCTAAGACCTAATTCAAAAATCGACGCTGGTCAGTCCATGTAATTTCTTTCCCTCATTTAAACAAAAAAAGAATGAACTCTCTATGACAAACCGCTATTAAAAATATGGACATATAGGAAAATGCCTGTAACTTTTTGATGCAAGGTCATACAGAGTTGTGCGAGGTCTTATTATGATCAGAAACGTTTGTTCTACAAATCTGTATGTTCAGAAAAATTTTAATTGCATAACTATCCAGGAAACTATTATTTGAAGATCTGATTTTTCGAGACTCTTAGAAAACTTGCTCAAAATCCCAGAAAAAACAGTTTTGTAAGCAAAAGCGATACAGATTCTGAAAGTAGACACTTCAGACTATCTTTTCATGTGCGTATCTCAAAACTAAAAAACTAAAAATATTCGTTTCTCAAAAGAGATACAAATCCATATTTTACAATGTATGTTTTAATCAATTAAAAAGTATCTCTTTTGAGGAACGAATATTTTGGCAAGAAATTGCATTTCTCAAAAGAGATACAATTATAGATATGGAATCTGCCATTTCTCTAAAGAGATATATTATCTCTCATTTCTATATTCTAAATAAAAATGAAGTTAAATAAGAGGTAGAAGCAAAAAAGATAATTAGTACTTATATTTAAAAAAAATTCATTTTTCAAAAAGAAGTTAATTCGTCAACTGTTTGTAATTTTAATCTTCGCTGTCTTCATCCTCATCCGTGCTACTATCGGAACCACGAGAACACTTTCAAATAATTATTTTTATTTATACGTTGACATCGAAAAAGATTTTTTTTTGAACAATATGGCAGAAACGCCTTTTTGACTTCGCTTTCGTACAAAATCCATGATAGCTTTTTGAAGAGTGAGACAATTTAAGCAGTATTATTTATAAACATTTCGAAACAATAGTTAACATTTACACTTTACAAACAATTGACAAATTGACTTCTTTTTGAAAAATGAATTTTTTAAATATAAGTACTAATTACTACTTAAGGTAATCTTGATTGCTTCTACCTCTTATTTAACTTCATTTTTATTGGAAATATAGAAATGAGAGATAATATATCTCTTTAGAGAAATGCAGTGGCGGATCCAGAGTTATTTTTTGGTACGTGCGGTATACAATAAAAGTGCGAGATACGTGCGGTCGTCATAGAAATAAATTATTTTAAGAGAGATCTTCTGGGATTAAACAGATTTTTTTTGTTAAAAGGTACCGCTCGCGGGCTGGATTCGCCACTGAAGAAATGAGAGATTCCATATCTATAATTATATTTCTTTTGAGAAAGGCAATTTCTTGCCAAAATATGCGTTTCTCAAACGCGATACTTTTTAATTGATTAAAACACATACATTGTAAGGATGGATTTGTACCTCTTCTGAGAAGCTACGAAATGAAGCATTAATTTAGGTGAAGTAGAATGAAAGAAAATTAGACAATTTTCCATACTAATATTATACTGTCGAAAATCGTATAAAGTTTCTCTAACTAGAAAATAATTCTAGAATTAAGCATGCAAGATCTTGTTGGGAATTGATCGCAATCTCGCACTAATCGTACCACAATTTGAAAAAACAAATTAAAACGGTTTCGTATAACGAATTTCATGATTATACGTGTACGATAGTCCAACCTTAACATTTTTATAAAACAAAAAATCGTATTCGAGATCAGATCTCAGCAAGAATGAAACTAGAAATAAATACTGCTAGGATAATCGAATATTTCAAAAGCTTTTACTTTTTGATTAACTTAATTAAATACTTTCATTTTCTTATTCTAATTTATAACTTGATCAGATGGCTATGTGGTTCGAGTTATTTAACACTTTTTGATGCTAATCATCTCAAACACAGTTTAAACTACCATTTTACTAGAGATCATAATCGTCATAATATTATTTTATTAATTCTAAAACAGAAAAAGTATAGAGTGTGACCTTAAAGAATCTAAGAAAAATAGTTTGTTAGTCTAGTCAAACAGGACGAACGATAGATGTTTTCATCTATGACAATAGAAAGACTTTCTACAGCTAAATGATTAGTATCTGTTAATAATTTTTCGCATAGATATACAAACCTCATTTAAGTATAATATCCACGAGTTGCTTGCCATTAATCTACTGATGACGGATGTCGTCAGTTGCATGTATGTATATTAATCACAGAAAAAGAAAAATCTATCCGTGTATTGTATGTAGAACGCAAAAGAAAAATCTATTACATTAATCAAAACTGTACATCTAACCGAAACAGGTGCGTGTTTTAAGATAGAGATTATTTACTTTTTTTTGCTTCTAAATAAATCCTTATTATCGTACGATTATTTCTGTAACATGCCTATGATCAAACTAGCCGTACATAGTTCTAAATGTGTTAAACGATAGAGGTATTGCTCAAATTTACAAAAATCTCGACATTTCACTTTTTGCAATACAATATTCCCTTTGGTATAACTGAATAATCTTTCCATATTGAAAGTTAATAAAGAAAAACTAGATTTTCTTATTTCGATAGTTGTATTTTGTTCATGTGCAAACAATTTTTTTTTATTTACAAAAAAATACACAATAAAAGAAACAATAACAAGAACGACTCTTTCTATAATCTCACTCAAACAAAAACACTTTTCCAAAAGAGAAAAATACAATTATGTTTGTTCTATTCATTTTTTTATATTTGATATAAAAACATGAAAATTAAAACATCTGATAATGCCATTAACATAAAATAGATTTTAAAAAAAAGAAAAGAAAACGAGTAAAAAAGTTCACGAAAAGAAAACGCTAGATTATAAATAAATAAATATCAAAAATATAATTAAGGACGCAATAGACAAAAGATAAAAAAATTAAGTGCATTTTAGTACTGCATTTTTGCACACTCAAACTTTCTCCTCTCTTTAAACTTTGAATGAAAAAAAACACTAACATATGGATATGAGATAACTTATGTAGAAAACAATCATTCTCTTTTCTATTCACTGTAGATTGTCATCGACAAACAGTAAAAATCTTGGATACCAAAATTTTTACCGTCTGTCGATAACGATTAAACATGTTATAAATAATACAAAAACAATCATGGACATCAATTCATTCTTTCTAGTAATTTCATTAGATTTTGTTTCGAATAAATTCGGCACTATCTTCAATAATTTCAAATGCATCTGTAAATGTTACAGGCCAATCTACAAATGTCATTGCACCATGAAAAATATAATAATGTCGATATTCTACTTCAACATGTGCGTCTTTTAATCTTTTCCAATATAATAAAGAATCACTTAATAAAACATCATATTCACATGAAACTAAAAATGTTGAAGGAGTTTGAGAAATAATATTAGTTGAGGAGAGTAATGGTGAAATATCATCATGAAACAATTTTGATGTATCTGGATGACATTCATTCGTTGATGTTATATAATAATCGTCTGATAACGGTTTATTACTATCATAGGATCTTAAATGAGAAAAAAAAATGAATAAAAATTTATAAATAAAAGAATTTATTCTCTACCTATCATTGATATCTGACTGATTTAACCATTGTTTATTAATTATTGAATAGAATTTATTTAAATCTTGTTTAGATAAATGTTGATTTTTAAATAGTTTTGATCGTTCAAATGTTGTATTTAAATAATAGTTTGGTACTTGATATAGAAAATCTTCTGTTACAACTGATAAGAGTTCATATTTTAGATACTTTTGATATGAAGGTAACATATAATTGACAAGTTGCATAAGAGGATAAAGTAAAATTTCAGCACGAATTGGATAAAATAACTCATTACGTAAACGACGTTCAACAATTATAGCTAAATTAGCACCTAAAAACAGAAGAATAATGTAAGTTATTTAACTAGTCATTACTATATCAAAAATTCAAATAACATACCGGCTGAATCACCTGCTAGAAATACTCGTGTTAAATCAACATTATATTTTTGTGAATGTTGAAGAATATAACGTGTTACGCGAACACTGTCATCAATAGCGTCAGGATATCGAACACCCGGAGACAAACGATAACTAAAAATATAGTCAAAAAAATAATAAATATGTAATCTATTTATATTGAGTCAAATCTACTTGTGTCATATAATTAAAAAGCATCGTTTTTCTCATACGTACTCACTCGACGGTGACTACTTTAGTGCCACTATATTTTGCTAAATAATAATTCATTGTATCATGCGAACCTACAACAAACAAATAAAAATCCGACTGCATGAATTAATAACTTACATAACTAGTACTTCTTACCTATGCCACCAAAAAAGAAACCGCCTCCATGAAAAAAGAGAACAAGTGCTTTTCTATTTGATTGTGGAACTTTTGTTGCGTTCACCGCATCATAGATTCGAACACGAACACCTTCTATATAACTATCCTCCGTCTTAAAAAAAAACAAAAGGAAATTATAATAGAAGAATACTGATCATAATTGTATTTCATACCAGAACAGATTTATCATCATAATGTCTATACTTGATTTTATCACATATATCAAGCATAAAACTTAGTGTATCATAAAATGGAATATTAAAACACCATTCAATTATGCGAGTCTAAATGAAATCAAACCACAAGTCTATAACAGAATACAAAAAAGAAGAAATAGTTGAAATTTTAAGATATTTGTCTACAAATAATGATAGAATTTTCATGTAATAAAGTAGAAACTAAGTTGTCGTTGAGTCTTTAATTATTTTCTAGAGGGAAAACAATTTGAATTTGAAATAGATAAGAAGAAATTGCGCACAAGATAGAACTACAAAATTTACTATTTGAAAGTTCTTCTACTGGAGGGCGCCATACCCAAAATGACCTCACATTAAAATCTAAAGCCCAATTTTAAGGTCGCTTTTCCTTTTTCATGTTCGGTTTTCATTATTTTGTGCACTACTTGTTAGTCAAAGTCTAAATATAAGATCATATTCGGGTTCAGCGTAAAAAACTAAGTCGAATACACTATATTAGGAATTTTCAGACGGTCTTATGGGTAGCTTTGCTGAGCGTATATCTAATTGCAAGGATGGAGCACACAAGTCGACCCTATACTTCGGTTCTCCTAGCTCCAAACCTTGCTTGTTTTATCCATATAAATACGCAGTTTTGTAGAGCTCATCTGAGGCTATACGATGCACTATTTGAGTTTAGTTTTTGAGTGGGTAAAGATGCCAGAAGCGGCTCTTTGGTTAGGAGTCACATGAACCTATGAATATCTTAGAAGTCCAATACCCATATCTCCTCTAAACATTGTTTCATGACACTCAAAATTTCACCACAGACATATTTTTAGATGTTGTTTCTACTG